GAAATTATGAGATAAAAAGTCATAATAATGAGATAAAAAGTCATAATTATGAGATAAAAAAGTCGAAATTATGAGATAAAAAGTCATAATAATGAGATAAAAAGTCTTAATTATGAGATAAGAAAGTCGAAATAATGAGATAAAAAGTCATAATTATGAGATAAAAAGAGACACTTTGTCACAACAGACAAACTAGCAGCTCTTTGGCTCGAATTCTCCTATTTATCTTGATACGGAAATGGATTGTGAGTACATTGAGGACTACTTTAAACGTGGATTTACAACAGATGAAATACTTAATTTGCTTGCTGATTCACATGGAGTTGTACTAAGCAAACGCACCCTTGAAAGGATTTTAAGCAAGAAGCAGCTCTGGCGTCGAAAGAATAAAACCGATGTGGCTGAGGTGGCAACCTTCATTGAACAGCAACTGGAAACATCTGGTCAGTGTCATGGTTACAGATGGATGCACCAAAAATGTTGGTTACATGGAATTGTGACTGACAGAGAAACAGTGCGAATACTGCTACAGTTATTGGATGGTGAAGGTGTTGATCTGAGGTCAAGAAACAGACTGCGAAGGCGCATCTACCACAGCTGTGGTCCAAACTATGTATGGCACATTGATGGTTACGACAAGCTTAAGCCATTTGGAATTGCAATCAGTGGATGCATTGACGGGTTTTCCAGAAAGATGATATGGCTTGAAGCTTACAAAACAAACAAAGACCCGAAGATCATCGCTGGCTACTTTATTGATGCTGTTATCAATGCTGGTGGGTGCCCTGCCAGACTCAGACTTGATTTAGGAACAGAAAATGGCCATATGGCTGAAATGCAGCAGTTTTTACATTTTTCTGAGAACCAAGCTGAAACAGACAATGTAACCTTTGGTCCAAGCACTGGAAACCAACGTATTGAACGATGGTGGCTGACCTTGCGAAGTGAGTGTGTCCAGTTTTGGATGGACCTTTTTGACAAACTGAGTGTAGATGGCTACTTCTCAGACAACTTCTTGGACAAGTCCTTGATCCAGTTCTGCTTTCTACAAATAATACAGGTACTTGTCACATTATGAAATAAATAAATGTTGAATGTGGTGAATATTTTTAAAGAGCCACAAATGACCATGTGTAAAATAGAAATTGCCTGTTTTCCGTGGAGAGAATGAATAATAAGTTATTGTTTCTGGCTAACAAAAATATGTGGGTATTCAGAGTAGCTGTGTCAAATAAGTAGGGTTTATTTTCGGGTTTATCCACCACATTTTTATAGCTGTTAAGATATAACATTAGTTGCACTGCTGCAATTTACATTTTACAGTTATTAATATGATTGTGCCAACCTACCATAGTACAACTAGAAGACACATCTCACAAATATAACAAACCATGGGTCAGGAGTGTTGTGGAATATTTTCCAAGGCCCATAACTTTGACCCAGTGTATCAGTTCAAACTGTCCTGACTGAGCACAGGCACCTGTAACCTTGGCTGCTGTGCTCTCAGTGTTTTGTCTCCCTGTTCCTGCCTGTTGGCGTCAGCTGATAGAGGTGTTATCATTCTATCTTGTTATGCAGCATGTTGATGATGCTCTCTGAACTAGCTAAATACATGGGTCTGGGGTAGAGTTCTTCAGAATTGACGTGGCAACTCTACCGTGAAGTCAGAACCTCTGACTCTTGGACTTGTGATGTGAATCCTCCGGCCGTAACTCCAAATAAACCATCATGTGTTTGACATCAAAGCTACTGCTCTTCCCGTGTCTCCTTCCTGAGTCGGTGACTCCCACTGCATAGCTACACAGAAGTTTCCTCTACAAGGAGTATACTTGACTAAGGCAGTAATCACCACTGCCTAGTATTTTTATACATTCTATTTGACTGAATATTATTTGCCTCCTAGGAAGAACTTAATGAGGTTGTATTGACTTGGAACAATCACAGAGTCCGTCAAGTCCATAACTCACGATCACCCCATGGACGTCCCTCCATATTGCATGCAGTCCCTCATCTGTATGGAGGCAGAGATTGTTTGCACCACGTGGACCTGGAGAAAGTTCAAGTCTGCCTTGATGAGTGTGTGTTCAAGGACTTCCCATGTGATGAAGATGTGTTCCATATCTGTGTGGATCTAATGTCAGAGTATAATCTGAAATTAACAAATGATGTGTTTGAAACTGTTAACCTGTATATCACACTCAGACAACTGATGAACAATGAACTGGATCATTAACTTTCCTGGGGCAGTGTCACAATTTATATTTCAGAAATGTGTATTTGTTTCCTGTTTCATTCCAGAACAAATTGAAATATATATACTGATTGCAATTGTCAGAATTATGATATACTTTAACCTGTGATGAATGAAAATATAATTGTAGCTGTTTGAGACACGTCAAATATGTACCAAATATTCTCAGTACATATATTTGTATGTACACACAAACAAAGTCATGTGTTGCCCTTAGATTGACTATGTGTAAAAACAGGATACAAATGCAAAATACACACATGTATTAATATAATTATTTATTCAATTATTTAAACAGATAGCATACAAAATTGCTGTTTTCATTCATGCTCCATTCATCTGAATCCAACCAATCAGCTGGCAGACTTCAATAAACCTCTGAAATCAAAATGGCTGTTTTCATTTTGACTGCATTTTAATCTAACTTGCTACAGTATCAGCAGTACGAGAGGTGAATTATGTCCAATAACGTGTCACCACACTATAAACTATACTCCAAATTCTCCAACTAAGGAGGAAGGGGAGCATTATTTAATTTTATTAGATTTTATTGATCTTGTAATACTTAAAGGAGACCTATCATGCTATATTTAAATGATATAGTGTATGACCATACCTATATAAGGTATATTTATACATTTTATTTTTCAAAATACCAAACAGATCATTTTTTAGCCATGCCTCGTTTCGCTCATTTTCGCTCTTTTCCAAGCCTGTCTTTGAAAATTCTGAGCAGCAGCTGACCACGCCCCCCTGCAGAAGAGCGGGGCATGAGCCGGTGAGAGTCAAGTTATCATGCTTGCTGTGATTACGAGTGTGGAATAAACATGTCATCTCAGAGCAATGCATGTGTTCAAGCGTATTATCAATTGGATCCAGAGACTGACCCTGAAGCAGCGGAGGTTTTGGTGGAGGTGCAAACATCTCGGTTGCAGCAGGACGTTTCTGAATGGTTAGTTGACAAGCTGTTGTTCCTATTTATTTTACTCCGTTACGATGATTGCTACTTATTACGTTCATATTTTGGCTAATTAGCAAGAATGCTATGTGTACAGTTTATAACTTAGAGCTTGTAACGCAAAAACAGCGATACATATATATATTTATAAAGGGAGACATTCATATTTTCAGCATATATACAATGGCCTCATTGCGTTTATTAATAGTTTACAGCCCTTTTCTTCCAACATCGTGCAACAACCGTTGGAAAGTTCAATAACTTAGGGTGATAAAAAAGTATAACTCCAACAACACCTCAGTTGTCAGCAGTGTGTGTAGTTTCATGTGTTTTTAAAAGCTCAGTTATTGACTTCTTTCTACAGGTGTACATGTGCAAATTGCGCCACGATGCCTTCTGAACGGAGAATGTGCTCCATGGAGATACCACAGGTAACATTTTTGATAGCTTCACTAAGTTGTCTGTTTAGAGAATGCATTTTTAACATGTCATTCAATATGTTTATCACACTAGGTGTCAAGACGGATGCAGGAACTTGAGGACTCTGTAACCTGTGGTGGACCATCCTGGATTGGAGCCTGTGTGCCTGAATGTGTTCTCCCTGCAGAATGCATTGAATATTTACAGAGCTGAACATGGTGGACTACAGTTGAGGCAAATAGAGCAGTGAGTGGTTTGTTTCTTTTGACTGAAATTGTAAAACGAATGCTAATATTGTTCATGGAAATAAATACTGGTGTATATGGCTTTATGCAATCTTTCATTGTACATGTACTATTATATATATATATATATATATATTATTACACAGCAATGGCATAACACACCCATGTGTACGACAAAAAAAGTCCACACACAACCTTATGCTTTTGAAATCAGAATATTCTTTACCCATCCAAACATGAATAATCACGACACATTTGATATCAACTCGGAACTTTATTGTCAAAATCAACGGTTCTTTGAACCCATAAAAAAAAACGAAATGTACTTGTATTTTGTATAAATGACACAATATATTTTTTTAATGATTTCAGGCGTCACAGGTATCTAGCCTACAGAAGCTTTGTGAGCTGGTGCTGGGGCTTCCTTGGACGCAGGATCAGAGTGGTGATTCCGGCCTGCGTTGTCCTCAGGATTCGCAGGGAGTTTCCTGATCCGCGAAATGTGTATGTTGGGTTCAGATGGCAGCCAAATTGAACCGTGTAGCATACCCGGAGATGACCTCCTCCCTGTCAGGTCGCTCATATTGGGAACACAGGTCCTCTGGGATGGGTATCTTCAGAAGCTCCTGTGTGAATGGTGCAGGGTCCACAAAGACTTGGTCGAATATGAGGTCCATCAAGTTGGCCACGTAGCCTGTGCAATATTAAAAAAAGCACAACAAAAAATGTGGTTTAGATTAGTATATGCATGTAAAAAACTGAAAGTTCTTTCTAATTTTTTTATTTTATACTTGTAAATAGTTGTATAATAAATATTTTAAACACTTACGGAATGTGGGGTCAGTCTTTACTGGTTTTGCTCTGCATTCTCCCTTCCTGGCCTTTGGGAACTGCAGTTTATACAGAGGCTTTCCAGTGGATGTAGTGGCTTGTGCACGCTCAGCGTTTTCATTGTAGTGCAGGGCTGCCAGGTACAGTCTTTCATTTCCGCCATGAGGGGAAAAAAAGTAAATAATAGCAAAGAATGTACAAATTGTCACTAATTAGTAAGTAACTATGGTTTATTTTACCTGCACAACATTCCAATAAATGGAAACACAACATTCTTTAGAGCAAAGCGCAGGATGACGGCATGGAATGACTCCAAAGATTAAGTCTGGTGGTGTGGGCTGAGTTTGGCCACGGCTTTCAAAATCCTCTTGGTTGAGAGAATTGTCTCCAGCTTGTGAAAGGCCGGCGTTCCTAAGAATTTGAAAATCAAAGTCATATTTTAATTGTCATGCTTTATAGATTGTGTCTGACAACATCCTGTATTCAATAGTTGTCCCTTACAAATATTTATAGAGGAGTAATGTAATATGGTTTATGAACAACATACCTGCAGCCATCCATTGGTATTGCGCAATGCGCAGTAGATGAAGGCACTTAGGGAACCATTTGGCCACTCTCTCAGGCCCGGTGGTGGAGGTTGCTGCAGTCCAGTATATGTGGTTTCTTATACTCTTCACCCACCCTCGAAGTTTTTCGCAGTCCTTCTTTTTTGCAGCCTTCTCCAGTTGCTTAGAAATCCCTAATAAATACATTTAACATGTAGTTAATATACATACAAGTTTACTCAAAATATTATTATATTATTATTATAGAAATTAACATAAATAAAAATACCTTTTTCTATGTGCCACACATCAAAGAATTGGGTGATGCTGCTTTCCCTTAGGAATTTCTGAATTTGCAGATGTCTGTCCGTGACAATACAGTCCAGAGTCACACCACGTTCCTTTAACAACTCCAGACTCCTTTTCAGGCCCTCTAACTCCATGTGGTAGCTTCCACCAACCTCATTGCTCTGTTATGACACATACAAATAACCATTGATACACACATTTTAAATATAACGTGCAAACAGTGTTAAAGAAAAAAACATTGATATTTCATTTCACCCCACTTACCTGAACCAACTGGAGGTCAACGACTTTGTTGTTCTTCAGGTCCATCATAGTGTAGCTTCCGAACTTTGCAGAGTGGCCTGTGAAAATATGTTTTACAGTAATTACTTTTCTCTGCGGATGGTGAATTTGTATTTTTGCTTGTAGTGTTTAGCATATGTTTTTCAGGAACCATTAATTGAATAAATCACACATAGTGAAACCCCTTTCTGAAATGTAAAATGTGAATTATATAAAAAATACATACCTGGAGAGTCAGCCCTCATATCACCACCAACTATCACTTTCTCCTCTGCATGGAGCTTCTGTAGCATGCCTTCCTGTGATTTTTGCCAGTAAGAAACAATCGCTGGCTCAATGAACATCCTGGCATGCCTTCGGAAGGTGTTGTATTTGCATATTCATTGTTTGAAGACCTAATGGTTGAAAGAAAACCGCAAGAACACATTTTAATCTCAAAGATCACCTGTAGATTTGTTGACGAGTCGATGAGGAGAACCTGGAAAGTGCAAATGAGCTGCCCTTTTTTAAACAGGGAAAGAGCTGAACATGTCATTATTTTATGTCATCATTTTCTCACTCTTGTTACCTTGTCCTATCTTATTCAACAACAACATTTGCATTTTTAAACATTGGCAATACAATCTTCTGCAGTTAATTTACCTTTGAAAGTTTGTAGAAAGATGCTCCGTTGACATATGTTGCAACTGATAGCTGCAGGTTTCCAATTGGAGTACTCTCAAGAACAGGCTGGCTATTCCAGTTTCTTGTAAACTAACAATGGGGGCACAGCTGCTGCACTGATATGAATGTACCGATCCTTCTGGTTTGTACATTACACACACGCTTGCACACAGGACATGATTCAAAAAGCTCCATGAGGCAGGTCTCATACACGATGTATGTGTTGATCGTCTGGGGGGGGTTTTGTTCTTGACCACTAAAACAAAAAAATAGAAGTTAATATCCATCACACAGATTGTTGCTTTAGAGATCTTTGGTGTTTCCCTATTATCAATGTTTGAATTATATACAGCAAAAAATACAATACATAGACAAACTCACACATAGTGATATTTCAGTAACTTACGACATGGCTGTTGTTTCTGTAGCATTTGTTATGGATTCTGCTGGATCATAAGTTGCATCCTGGCCTTCGGAAAACACCAAAGAAGAGCTTCCCTCAAATGGATCTTCGTATTCCTCTTCAAGATCCACACGGGGCCTCTTTGGTGGTCTCTTTAAGGGGGTGGATGTTAAAAAGGGCACTGGCACTTCCAACGGAAGTGTTTCGACACCAACGCTTCTGCAGGGAATTTTAGCCTGGACAGCCGTAACATAATTGTATTTGACATTAAAAACAAAACAAAAGATAAAACAAAAATATTTTTACAACAATTAGAAGCACACACATTAAAGGCTACAACATCAGAATGTCAAGATGTATCCAAAGAACATTTGAAAAACGTGCTTCTAACCTGTACTTCGATGTGAACCAAGAGTCCTCGAGGATAGCTGTGTACGAACAGTACGGTACTTGGGTGGGTCAGTCTGACATGCAGAATCTGTCATCACAGGTAATCTGCTGGTAGCATGTGAGGTGCTGGCCTGTAAAGAAGAAAACAAAATCATCTCAATTTAGTATTCAGGATGAGAAAATACTATTTGGATAAATATCGTCTGAAATCCCAAAAGATGGGGGCTAAAACTCTCTATTTAGCAAAGCTCTTTGCTTAGCCTTTTCCTATCTGAGTTAGTTTTGAACCGTAACGTGCATGCTGTGTTTCTGACTCAATACAGATGATGTGTTGGAGAGGGGCTGAGCTCAGTAGACTGACTGTAATGAGTGCTAGCCACTAATTAGCCTGTTGCTAGGTAAGGCCTCGTCAACAACAACAACAGACCAACGGGGCTTTAGTTCTGTTTTACTCATGGTGTGTGTCCCCCCTCACATACATACACACAGTGTTGTATCCTAACACATCCCCATTTATATTCATGTGCGCAAACAAGTAAACATACAAAAGCTTTTACATATAACGCTGGAAAAAACGGCATGTCTCATTAGCGTAGCGTAGCTTAGCTTACAGATCTGATCGTTCTTACAGACTACAATCACAAAAGCTTTTACATATAACGCTGGAAAAAACGGCACTTACCTACAGAAGATTACGTTTGTTATTATAACTTACTCAATATGATTTTAGAGGATACAAAATACTAATAAATAGGAGAATAAATACTTGTGTTATCGGCTAGGGCGTGGCTTTACAGCCTTCACACAGATCGCCATTATGGCAGTATGTCTGAACATGTTAGCAAATGCCTGATAATTAAAATAAAAGACAAAGCAAAGACTGCGGAGCGTACAATATAAAATGTTATAAAAACATATAAACACCTAACCGATTACTATTTGGGTTTGAGGCGACATTGATACGGCGAAGCTACATGCTACATGGTACATACTACAAGCTAGAGATAGCTTTATCAGGAGAAACACCGCTAAATAAAAACTTACAGCTTCAAAATTGGATGTGTCCTCACTGGCCTGCTCCCGGATGGTTGGTATTGATCCCGGGTTTAGCATTAGCTTGGAGGCATATCCGTGTTGGACTTGAGAGAAGTTCATAAACATGTCCGTGGTAAAATGTTTGGAACACACAAACAGAAATCTGCCGTGGTCTTCTGGCACATGTCCCTTGAAAATGAAGTCTAGCCACAGATTATTTTCTTTTTCCACTGATGGCATTGCATGCAGTCCCCTGTCCCGAGTCTTGCAGCCAACAACAGCACAAAGTTTAACTCGCTTAGACATCCTGGCAAGAGCAGACAAAAACACAGATGTGACTGGAGTTGATTTAGCCTGCCGATAGCCTATATGCGAATGAGAGGTTTGGCAATGCACGTGGCCGTGGCTCATTCCCCTGATAGGCAGTGCTTGAATTGGAATGAAAAAGGTGCCAGTACTCTAAAATCAGCAACTTTTTCAAGTCAATTTTATATATACAGCCCACAAACAAGAATTTGGCTACTATAATGCTGGTGGGTTTGTCTCTTTACTACTGTCTATTTTAGAAAGGTTCACTGTACTTAACATTTTTTATGATAGGCAGCGGATATGGCTAAAGCTCAGTAAGGTCAATATTAACTGAAAATATAGCAATCAAAGTCTAGATCTTCTGCTGAAGACACATGAAGCAGAGACCTTTCAGGTGAGAGCCCCTCTGGTGGTGTTCAACATTAATGACAAGGAAACAAAGCTCTGGTCAGAAGCATTTTTTATAAAAAGCTTTAACAAAATTAAGTATTTCTGTATATTTTGAATGCAATCTAACTTTCCAACTCAGAAAACGAAAAAGTGCCAAAAGTCTTCTCACATGGCTGAGCTGCTTTGCAATATACTTCACCACTGAAGAATACAAATATGTATAAAGTAAACTATGATGCAATCTAACTTTCCAACTCAGAAAAATGATAAAGAGCATGAACAAAGAACATGTAAAAACAAATGCAAAATGTGCACAATCTAAAATGAGAAACTGTAACTTCAAGTAACAAAGTCTGAGCCATGGTAAAGAGTTACATTGAACACCAAGCTGATCAGATAACTCCCTGGTTGGTCTGAAGTCCTTCTATCTCCAGGATCTGTACAAATCGGCACATTATGCCAAAAGTCTTCTCACTGGGTGAGCTGCTTTGCAATATACTTCACATTGTTAGAAAAGGCTCCAGAAGGCCTTGGGGACATCAGTATCAGGGGCTGGAGCTGGACAGGCTCTTTCATCAGCACTTCTCCTTCCCTTTGCCAGCCAGGACCTCACATACTGTTCCGGATTGAACTGTCCTAGTGATGGTCCATTACATTTAATGAAAACCAGGCTGGACAGTCGGCTGACAGAGAGAGCATTCCTTTTTGCAGTAAGGATATCGTTCATGCAGCTGAATGCCCGCTCACACTCACTAGTGGAGACAGCGATGGTTCGGACTGCTTTCAGTAGAGGCTCCATCGCAGCAGGTGTACGGGATGCCCTGGTTTCCTTGTATTCGCGAAAGCCCTGAACAGTCTCTCTTCTGTCCACTTTCAGCACTTCGCACAAACGTAGCACCTCTACGTCCCCATACTGTACGTCTAACTCCTCTTCAGGCCAACTTCCAGGATGGATAACTTTCATGTCCTGGATTAGCTGATTGTCCCGGGCCTCCCGGCCATGTAATGGGATTTCTCTTGTGCTGACATGAGAGGAGGTTGTGGAAGTCATTCTGTGTCTCAGATTCTCTACCATACTGCGGAAAAACTGACCTGCATGAATCTGTACAAGCCTGCCATTCTCACGCAGGGCAACACCCTTGAAGGACTTCTCAGCTAGAACTGTATGAACTGTAGTCATGTGTGGGCCAGGCATGGTGACCATGGATTCAAAAACTCGTATTTCTCGAGTTAAGAGCCTATCTGCTGTAGGCAGTGTCATCTCTCTTTTTTGGAGTTGCCGAGAGAGGTCGCTGAGCTCTGTGAGCGCATCGTACATCAGTCCCAGATTGCTGACAAACGTTGCAGATGTGAGCACATCATCCAGGCCCTTGTACTTTGCTCTGTCTCTGGAATCCCTGCTCGTGTCGTTTTCAGCATTTGTGAAGTGATCATGAAGCACTCGGTAGTTTTCCCAGACTGCTCTGACGCTCCTTTCACTTGAAGCCACCCAGCGGATGGACAAAACACGCCCTATCACCAGGAGACGCTGTCCGACTGCTTGCGCACACTGCGCTAACTGCCTCTGATTTTTGGGGGAGGCATGGAACAAGGAATAGAGTTTGTCAAAAAAGATCTGGAAATGATTGAGCCCTGAGACCTCCTTGACCACATCCCCAACTGCCAGCTCTAGACGATGATTGGAGCAGTGCCACACAAACAGGCTTGGGAATTTACTACACAACTGGGTAGCAACGCCTGTTCTCTTCCCTAGCATGACTGAAGCCCCATCACATGCAAAAGAAACGAAACACTGACCTAAAAAGTCCTCGTTAAAATCTCTTCCAAGACACTCCATTAACGCCTTTGTGATGTCATCAGCCGTTGTTCCATCCAACTCGATCAGCTCCCAAAAAAAACGTTTCGGGCTCAGCATCAGCTAATGCTGAGCGTAGACACACAACAAGCACCGTTTTACCACTAATAGTGGTAGATTCATCGACCAAAACACAGAGTTTTCTTTGGTTTTCTGTAATGTCTTTTGCCATTTTTTTCTTCAGCTCATGAGCTATGTGGTCGATGATTTCGCCACAGGTTTTATTGGAGTGCAAAACCCTGCCCACGTTCAGCCCATTCAGTTTCTGTACATTCAAATCAATTGGCATGTCTGTGAATGGCCGGCTATGTTTGCCAATTTTATA